TTAAAGAATTAATAATTCACTAATGATAAAAAAAAAACAAAGAAAAACTAAAAAGAAAAAAAAACAATGGATGACCAGTTTGATGAATTTGGGAATTACATTGGGAATGACCAAGTTATAGAAGAACAACCTCATGAGGATGATATGGATAATAATAATGAAGATGAATTGAACAGGAATGAAGATAGAAAAAACCAAATTGTTTTACATGAAGATAAACAATATTATCAAACAGCAGAAGAAATTTATGGTAGTGATGTTGAAGTATTATATAGAAATGAAGATGAACAAAGCATTACAGAAGGTATAATACCAGTAGAGAAAAATAAGAAAATACAAAGAGAATATAAAACAAATCTAACAAGTAAATATGATTTTGAATATATTTCAGAACAAATGAATAATATAGATAAGATTAGAAATATTGCAGTAATAGGATCATTACATCATGGGAAAACACAACTGATTGATTTATTATTTAGATATTCACATGATAAAAGTATTGATGTTGATAAAATAACAACAAATTATATGGATATAAGAAATGATGAACAAGAATTAAAAATATCAATTAAATCTAGTCAAATAAGTTTATGTATTCCTTCAAAGAAAAATGGATATTATTTATGTAATATCATTGATACTCCTGGACATTCAGATTTTATTGATGAAGTTATTGTTGGTCTTTCATTAGCCGATAATGTTATTATCACAATTGATTGTGCTGAAGGTGTTTTATTAACAACAAAACATTTAATTGAAATAGTAGCACAACAACATCTTCCATTAATTGTTGTTATAACCAAAATAGATAGACTAATCATTGATTTAAAATTACCTCCAGAAGATAGTTATTGTAAAATAAGAAATATTATTTGTGAAGTTAATGAAATATTACATAAATATCAAATGAAATTAATATCACCAGAAAATAATACTGTTTTATTTGAATCATCAATATTTGGATGTCTCTTTTCATTAAATAGTTTTTCAGAAAAATATATTCCAAAAACAACAAAAGGAACATTAGAACAACGAATTCGTGGTGCAATTGGATTTGATAGTCAAATATTTGGTCAAAATATGTGGGGTGATAAATGGTTTGACCATCAAACACATACATTTAAAAGAATAAAAGGAAATGAAAAGAGGACATTTGTTGAATTTATATTAGAACCAATTTATAAAATTGTTGGAATGTGTGTTTCTAAAGAAGGGAAAGAATTAAAACAAGGATTAAAGAATTTTAATATTAGACTGGAAGGGAATGAAAGTGAACTAAATTTTATTCCATTATTAAGAACAGTATTTTATAAATTCTTTGGAGAAAGAAATTTAACAGGATTTGGAGATACTCTTCAAGAACTAATGACTCCTAAAGAAGCAGCACAAAAAGTAATAACAAAACTTTCAAATGATAAGATAGAAATGAAAGATATCATTAAAAAATGTGATAGAAATGGACCATTAGTTATGAGTATTATTCGATTATTACCAAATACAAGAAGTTCAGAAATGATTGGAGTTTGTAAAGTGTATAGTGGAACTATTCATGAAGGAGATAGTGTTAGAGTATTAGGAAATAATTATTCAGAAACAAATACAGAAGACATGAGAATTGAAGAAGTTTTAAGTGTTCAACTCGATATGGCACAATACAAAGTACCAATGAGACAAGGAATACCAGCAGGAAATATTTGTATTGTAACAGGAATTAATCAAATTATTAGTAAAAATGGGACAGTTGTAGATAAAAGTTTAACAGAAATTCAACACATTAGAAATATTGAAATACCAACACCATATATTAAAGTTGCAATTGAACCATTAAAACCATCAGAAAAAGAAATAATGATAGAATCTCTTTCAAAAGTAACACAAAGTTATCCAGGTTCAATGGTAAAATGTGAAGATAGTGGAGAATATATAATAACAGGATATGGAGAAATGTATTTAGATTGTATATTAAGAGATGTAAGAAATATGTTTACACCAATAGAAATTAAAGTTAGTGATCCATGTGTAATTTTTAATGAAACAGTGTCATGTTTGTCTCAAATGAAAAGTGTTGCACTTTCAACAAATCATAGAAATAGAATTGCTGTTATTATTGATCCATTAGATGAAAATACAATTAAAGGAATAGAAAAAGGAGAATTAAAAGAAGAGAAAGGAAGAGATGAAATATTATATAAGAAGTATCAATGGGATATTCTTGCATCAAAATCTCTTCTTTGTATTGGACCAGAAGAAAAAATTCCAAATGTATTATTAAATGATATTTTAGAAGAAGAAAAAAGGGAAAAAATAAATGAAATGAAAGAAGCATGTTGTATTGGATTTAAATGGGCAATGAGCTCAGGACCATTATGTGAAGAAGAAATGAGAAATTGTAGAGTAAGAATTATTGATGCTGAATTTGAAAGAAATGTTGATGAACAACAAGTTATTCAAGCATTAAGAAGATCAATTTATGCAGGAATTATTTTATCATCACCACAACTTTTAGAACCAATTTATGTTGTTGAAATTATTACTCCAGAAAATGCAATTAAAGGTATAACTAAAAGTATTAGTGATAGGCGTGGTTTTATTATTCAACAACAACCTCTTGAAGGCACTCCATTCCAACAAATTCATGGAAATATCCCATTAATAGAAATATTTGGATTTGAAACAGATATTAGAACATTTAGTAGAGGTCAGGCATTTGTTCAAAGTTGGTTTAGTCACTGGGGAAATGTTCCAGGTGATCCTTTAGACAAAGAAATTAAACCATTAAATTTACAACCAAATCCTCAACCTTATTTATCAAGAGAATTTATGATGAAAACAAGAAGAAGAAAAGGATTAGTTGATGATGTTGATACATCTAAATATTTTGATGAGGAAATGCTTTCAACAATGAGCCAAAATAATTTCATTTTTTGATTGGAAAAATTTTATTTAATGATGTTTATCAATTTTAACTTTATTTTTTTTTTTAAGTACTTCTCTAATTTAAAAGATTTATTGAAAAACTATAATATCTAAAAAGTATCACTTTATGTCAAGCACCTTTTGTCTTGAAGAAGAGAAAAACAGAATTACACCATATTTATTCAATTCATTTTACTAATTATTGGGTTTTATCATTTCTTATATAATAAGAATCAAAAAAGTATGATTAGTATATATATTTTAATATAAATATTATGGTTTGATAACTTGGATTATGTCAACATAATTCTAAATATGTTAAAAATGTATATTTAATGAATACAACATTATATCATATTATTTAATTTAAAAAAGATTATTTTTCTAAGAATTACAAAACTTTGATGATATTTTTATTTATTTAAATTTACATTATAAAACTGAAATATTCATTTATGAAGTAATATTATTCAAATAATAACTAATCATAGTTTTAAATGTTTTTTTAATGAAATGAACCAAGAATTATGTAAATACAATTTTTATTTAGTGAAATACAAAAAATTTACTGAGTGATATAAAAAATGAAGGTTAAAAATTTGTCACTTGGTAAATAGTACTATGAAAAGAATAGCAATAATATTTATTATTACTATTAAATATTTAAACAAACCCACAAAATAGAACTTATATTTAATTATCATTTTTTTTTAATTAATGAAGTTGTTTATTATTTACTGTCATAATCATAATAAATTCAATAATAAATAACACTAATCTTCAACAAAAATTATTCAATCACAAAATAATTATGGTTAGTACAAAAGAATCAAAAGTAAATAATAATTTAGAATAGAAGTTGAGTTTTAAGAAAAGGTTGTTAGCCAAAAATAGAGTATTGAATATTAGATTCATGTTAGAAAAGCATTATTTATTTCATAATGAATTTTGATATAAACAATGAACTATTTGATTAAGGAAAAGAAATTCCATTTAATTTAGAATATCAAAATAGTGAATTAAAAAAAAATAAATTACTATAAAAGAAAATATTCAATAAAGTAATGAAGAGTAAGTAATAGTTGTAAAGGATTTATTATTGAAGAAATAATGATGTGGAAGCACGTTTATAAATAAACAAAAATGATGACGTGCAAACAATTATTAGGGTTTAAAAAGTGAACTTTTAAAAAAAGAAAGTAATGAATTTCTTAGGAATAGATGTTGGAAGTAAACACAGTTTAATTGCTCATACAGTTGAAGGTTCATTTCCAACTGTTGTATCAAATAAAATTTCTAATCCATTAACTCCTTCATGTATTGTATATGAACCTGCATCAGAAGCTGTATTTATTGGAGATGAAGCAATTGATAAACAAATGAGATATCCACAACATACAATAAATAATGTAACTACACAACCTACATTTAATCAAGAATTACCATATTTCTATCATACATTATTAATTGATAATTTATTAAAAGACGTAGAAATGTATTTAAAAGATAAACTTACAGAATTAAAACCAGAAGAAACAGTAGTAACACTTACTATTCCAAGTGAAATGGAAGAAGAAAAAAAGGAATTATATAAAAATATAATTAAAGGACATTTTAACTTTAAAGAAGTTTTAACATTATCTGATATTGAAGCAGCTGCACTTTGTCTTAAAACAATGCATTCTGTTGAAAAGAAAAATGTATTAATTGTAGATATTGGAGCACATCATACTACAGCAGCAGTATTTTCAGTTGGAGAAACAATTGAATGTATTAGTAAAGAGTCAGCTATTGTTGGAGGAAATGATTTTGATAAAAAGTTGATTGAATATGCTGAACGTTATTTATTAGAAAAACAAAAAATTGATATAACACAACCAAATTACATTAGAGCATTTATTAGAACACAAAGAGCTGTTGAGAAAGCAAGAATTTTACTTTCAACAATTCCAGAAACTAATATTGAGATTGATGGAATTAATGACGGTTCTATTATGATTAAATTAAGTAGAGAATTAATGCAACAATTAATTCATGATGAATTATATAAAATTGAAGAAGTGGTAAAAAAAGTTGTTAATGATGGTAAAACAAAAATTGAACAAGTTGAAGTTATTGGTGGAACAGGAAGAGCACCAAATGTTGTTCAAATTATTAAAGGTGTTGTTGGAGAAGAAGTAAGATTTTTAAATTCAATTGATTCTGCATGTTCAATTGCACTTGGAGGAGCTGTTTATGCAGAACGTAGTCAACAAAATAAAAACAAATTAACAGAAGAGAAGAAGAATAATGAGATAGAAGAAAAACAAAAAGAAATGATTAAAAAAATTGATGAAGAAATGTTAAAAGCAACAACGATAATTAAGAATAGAGAAAGAAAGATGTGGATATTAAATGATATTGAAACTAAGATTAATCAATATAGAAGATATATAGAGTCAAAAGAAGGAAATATTCCTGAAAATGAATCTAATGCATTAAGAAATCTTTGTAATGAAATGGAAGATTGGCTTAATGATGCTCAAGACCTTGGACTAGAATCTTTAGAAGAAGCTTATAAAGCTCATTTAATTGCAATTGACTCTGCTGCTCCTACCTTAAAAAGTTATTTAGATAAAAAAGCTGAAGAAGCTAAAAACGAGAAAGAAAAAGCTGAAAAAATGAGAGCTGAACATATAGGAACTGGAGAAACAGCTCGTAAGAGACCAGAACCAAAAACAAATAAAGAAAAAATGGAAGCTGCAGAAAAGGCAAAAGAAAAAGGAACTAAAGCATTTAAAGACACAGACTGGATTGGTGCTATTAGAATGTATTCAAGTGCTCTTGGACATGTTGAAGCAATGTTTGATATGGGACCAGAAGAAATAGATAAATGTAATCAAATGAAGTTATCACTTTATTTAAATCTTGCTCTCTGTTATTTAAAAGTAGATAAATTAAATAAAGCATTAGATAATGCTGAGTCTGCATTGAAAATTGATGGAAAAAATGTTAAAGGATTATTTAGAAAAGGAATGGCATTAAATGGATTAAAGAAATATGAAGAGGCATTAGTTGCTTTTAAACAAAGTGAAGAAATTGAACATAGTGCAGCTACTGTTAGTTGGATAAAGAATACTGAGGCAAAGATCCAAGCCGATAAAGAGAAAGAAAAGAGATTAGCTCAAAAGATGTTTGGATTTTAATTGATTTTTGAATAATAACAAATTATTTACTTCAAACCAGAATTAAAGATACAAAAAAAGAGATAAAATATTGAATGGTTAATAAGAAAAGAAAGTATTTGAATATTTGAATAAGTCAAGAAAGAGAGATTTGTATAAGAAAATTTTCAAATAGTAACTTAAAAAAATATAAAGAATAAAAATGAATAAAGAAAACAACAAAGGAATTAAAAAACCAAGAGATGAAAATAATATTCATTATAAAAATGCTTTAATAAAAAAAAAACAACAAATAGAGGAAAAAAGAAAAAAAAAAGAACAAGAACAATTAATTAAAGGAATTTCTCAAGAAGAAATTAATGAAACAACTTATTATTTTGAAAATGGATTAAGAAGAGTTTTACCTTATTTTTATACATTTAAAGTAAATGCAAAAGGAAGATGGATTGGAAGAACTATTGTTGATGTTTTTGTTCATGAATTTAAACTTTGTAATGAAGAAACTACAATAAAAAAAATTGAAAAAGGATTAATTAAAATTAATAATAAAATAATTGAACCATCTACAATTATTCATCATCATGATGAAATAGAACATCAAGTTCATAGACATGAACCACCTGTTTATTGTGACAAACTTACTATAGTTAAAGAAACAAATGATTTTATTGCAATTGATAAACCATCTTCTATTCCAGTACATCCTTGTGGAAGATATAGACACAACACTGTAATATTTATATTAGCACATGAAGGATATACTAATTTAAGACCAGTTCATAGATTAGATAGAATGACATCTGGTATTTTATTATTAGCTAAAACTATTCAAGCAGCTAGAGAATTTCAAAGTTATATGACTATTAAAAAAAAAGAATATCTTTGTAGAGTAAGAGGAAGATTAGAAAAAACAACTGTAACTAGTAAAATTGGAAGGAAAAGAATTGATGATAAAAAAATTCATGTCTCTGTTAATGAAATTGAAGAAGATGGAAAGGAATGTCATAGTGAATTTAATCCATTGTTTTATGATGAAAAAACAAATACAACTGTTGCTGTTGCATTACTAGGAAGTGGAAGAACTCATCAAATAAGAGTACATTTACAATCAATTCATCATCCTATTGTAAATGATCCAATATATGCTGCACAATTTGATGAATCAAAATGTGATGATGAAGGGATATTTGAAACACAATATGGAGGAACAATTCAATGGAAAATAGAAGAGGGATGTATTGAATGTGAACATCTTAAAGGAGATCCAATTCAATATGGAATATATCTTCATGCATGGAGATATGTTATTGATGATGAAATTTTTGAAACAAAACTACCATATTGGGCACAACCAAATGTTGATATATCACAAGAGATTAATGAATTTAACAAAAATCATATTTTAATTTAATTTTTGTTTTATATATCAATAAATGATATTTTTAGTCATCTTATAAATTTAATGATTTGGGAGATTATTGCAGGAGCCACAGCTCTAATAATGGTATTAAGTGGAATACATTTATTTACTCATCAATATGAAATAGTTTTCTATCCTACTCGTCATACATTACCAAGTGTTGAAGAAATAACACAAACCTTCCAACTCCCATTTGAATTAAAAGAAGTTTCAATTTTTACAAATGATAATAATACTGTTTATTTATATGCATGTTTAAAAGAAGAGCCATCAAAACACATAACATTATTATTATTTCAAAGTAATGCTGGGAGTGTTTTAGATAGAATGGAAATGGCTAAAAAATATTATGAATTATGTAACGTAAATTTTGTTATTGCAGTATATCGAGGGTTTGATAAATCGACAGGGATTCCAGAAGAAGTAACAATGAATAATGATGTTGAAAAATATTTTGATTCATTAGAGTCACTTGGAGTTGATATGAATAATATTGTTGTTATTGGAAGATCAATTGGAGCATCAATGGCATTAAAATTGTATAATAAAAAAAATTGTAAAGGATTAATTATTGAAAATGGATTTACAACACTTCTTGATGTTGGTAAAATATTAATGCCAGCTATTAGTTTCTTTCCTTGGTTAATTAAAGATAAATGGGATAATTTAAATGAAATTAAACATGTACAAAAAGGAAAAAGAATTTTATTTTGTAGTAGTGGTCAAGATGAAATGGTCCCACCATCAATGATGCAACACCTTTATGATGTTGCTCATGAAACAGGGAAAAAAGTAAGAATGGAAAAATTTGCAAAAGGATTTCATATGAATTTACCAAGTTATCCTGAATATTTTAAAAAATTAAATAAATTTTTTGAAGAACTTACAAAGGAAACAATGGAAGAAGGGATAATAGAAAATCAAGAAGTACAGTAGAGATAATCTAGAACAAATTAAGAAATAGTTTTGTTTGTTAATTTTAGAAAAAAAAAAAATTAATGATGATTGTTCGTTTTTTTGTTATTATTATTTGATATAAATAGATCATTTTTTGATTTGAAAAACTATTTTTAAGAATAATGATTTTGAAACAACTCTTTTTCTCTTTGTAACACTCAAAACTAGTTAATCATAAAATGGAAATTTCATTGAAAGTACAATTCATTAAAACATTTAAACCATTTATTAAATCTATTCCAACAAATGTAATTGAACCAATTAAAAAGAATGGTTATTGTTTTCATATTTGTGATGACCCTCTTTCTATTTTAGGAAATGACCAATCATTTGGGATGACTTCATTTAGTACTTATCCTATCATTGATGGAATCAAACAAGGAGAACCAAATTGTGATCGTATTGGTGTACTTCGTTTTTCAAAGTCAACTGTTATGATAATAGCTGATGGATGTGGGTGGGGTATTCAACCTCATCAAGCATCTTCAATAGCTGTTCGTTCAATAATGGAAACAATTGTTGATGAGATTGAAACATGTCAATCATCAAAGGACATTGCGAATATGTTAGTTGATAGTGCATATAACGCTCATATTGATATTTTAAAAAAATCAACTAAAATAAAAGGAGTTGGTTCAACAACTATACTTATTGCTTGTTTATTTTCTACAAAAGATTTAAATCAACAATTAATTGTTCTTTCTATTGGAGATTCTCAATGTTTTATATATAATGATAAAAATCAAAATTGTGTAGCTCTTAATCCCAAATGGTGTAGATGTTTATTATCAACAAAAGATAGTGGAGGAAGAATTGGTTCTGCAGATGGGACTCATCCTGATTTAAGGTCTTCAATGTTAAAAATAGTAAATGTTTATTCAGATGATATCATATTATTAACTTCTGATGGTTTTTGTGATAATTTTCAATTACCAAAAACATTAGTATCATTAGATTCTATTATATCATCTCGTATTATTTTATCAGCAAATATGTCTGATTTTATTGAAAACATTTCTAAATATTTAATTCAAACAACAGAATCAGTTCGACAATTTCATACAGAAAATAAAAATAAAATGCGTCCAACAAATTTAACTGGAAAATTAGATCATGCATCAATTGGTGCTTTTAGAGTTGAACCAATAAATGTAGATTTAGGTCTTATTAATATTTATTGTCCATCAATTTTAAAACCATTATATCCAAATTCTTTAGTTCCACGTAAATCAGTTCGTTCAAGAAGTTATAGTGATATAGAAATAACAGAAAATGATGAACAAAATGTTTTAAAAGAAAAAGGTTCTAATTCAAGTTCTGGGGCATTAACTCATAGAGTTAGAAATGGGTGTTGTCCAACACCATTAATTTATAGTGATAATTTTCCTATGTTATATTCTCCTAAACTTAGAAAAGGAAATAACTTTTCTGAAACTACTTCTTGTATTTCTCCTCCAAGAAAATCTCCTGATGTTCATTCTACTGTTGTTGTTTCACCTGAACTCTCTTTTTCATATTCTCCACTTATTGGAGATGATCATTCTTCTCGTTCATGTAGTTGCTTTACTAAGTTTTTCTTGAAAGATACTAATTAATTGTTTATTTTATTTATTACTTTCTTTTTTAATTTCTGTTTTTAATAATTTTTAGTTTAGTATCTGAAAATAACTTCTCTCTCTTATTCATTCGAAATGTTCTTATTTATCTTATTGTTTCTTTCTGCTTATGCATCATTAACCCTTCATCAAAAACAATTTTATAAAAGATTATCTCATAGTTTGAAATCTGATATACCAAACGTTAAAACATTGACTTATACTGTTCCATTGGATCATTTCAACGCTAATAATCAAATTGATTTTGATATTCAATACTTCATCAGCACTGATTATTTGGATAACAATAGTCCAAATGCACCACTTTTTGTTTTATTAGGAGGTGAAGGACCTGAAGATGAAACTGGTTTACAAAATTATTTTGTTGTAACTGATTTGGCTAAAAAGCATAAAGGATTAATGTTATCTGTTGAACATCGTTTTTATGGTGCTTCAACTCCATCACTTGAAATGGATAAATTAATTTATTGTACTGCAGAACAAGCATTAATGGATTACGTTGAAGTTATTTCTCATGTTCAAGAAGAAAATAATTTAGTTGGACATCCAGTTATTGTTCTTGGTGGATCATATAGTGGTAATTTAGCTGCTTGGATGAGACAAAAATATCCTAATGTTGTAGAAGGAGCATGGGCATCATCTGCTCCAGTAGAAGCTGTAGTTGATTTTTATCAATATCTTGAAGTTGTACAAAATGCACTTCCTAAAAACACTGCAGATTTATTATCATTTGCATTTGAACAATGGGATAAAATGACTACTACTGAAGAAGGAAGAAAAGAATTAGGAAAGATTTTCAATACTTGTACTGAATTTGGTGAAAAAGATATTCAAACATTTGCAGAGTCTATTGGAACAGCTCTTTCTGGTTATGTTCAATATAATTCTTCAAATTGGAAACCTTCATATGAAAGTACTGATTCAATTTGTGCTGAAATTAATGAGGATATTGTTAATAAATACCCATTATTTATTAAAGAAAAATATAATCCAGAATGGGCTGATAAAGAATGTACTCCATCTTCTCAAGAAGAAAGTTATAAAACATTACAAAATACTTCTACTTATGCTGAAGGAAATGAAGATGCTTCTGGTAGATCATGGTTTTTCCAAACATGTATTGCTTATGGATATTATCAAGCTGTTAGTGAACAATCATCAGTTAAATGGGGTAAATTAAATCAACTTCAAGGAAGTATTGATATGTGTAAAGATATTTATGGCATTGATAAAGATACATTATATAATGCAGTTGATCATATCAATGTTAGATATGGAGGAAAGAAACCATGTGTAACCAATGTTGCATTTACAAATGGTAACACTGATCCTTGGCATGCTCTTGGAGTTACTGAGTCTGATCATCAAGAAGGTAATTTAGTCCAGTTAATTGACAGAACATCTCATTGTTCTGATCTTTATTCAGAAAAAGAGAATGATGTTCCAGAATTAAAGAAAGCAAGACACAATGAACTTAAATTCTTTGCTCAAGTCCTTGCTAATGTCCCTCAAAATTAATTCAAAATTTAATTTTTTTTCTGTTTCTTTTTTATTAAGATCTTTGAAAAAGTATTTCGTAAATATTTACATTAACATGAATGGTATTCTTGGTTTTGATATTAAAGTTACTCAATTCACTCAAATAGAAAAAGTAGATTATTATCAAATAGAGTTATTTATAAATGGAATTAAAAGAAAACAAATATTAAGAAGATATAATGACTTGTCTAAGTTTAATGAAGAATTAACTAATAAATTTGGTAATCTAATCCCATCTTTTCCACCAGCAACAGTATATTTTATAAAACCAACACAAGAACAACGTATGGTTGATTTTCATTTTTCCAAATAATTAGATAATAAACAGATGAAAATATAAATAAAACACCTCATGTTGTATGTTTGAAATAATATTTATAATCCAAAAACAAACTCAAGAATAAATAAAGTGTTCGAAACATAAAAAAGTTGGAATATATATAAAGACCATCTTGATAAATGCATGAACAAAAATAAGTTAAATCTTAACATAAACTAATAAATAATGTGTAATATATTTTGGAATATAAGAAAAGAATGAACTAATGATGATATCAATGTATTTTGATGATATTATTTGTTAAAAGACATTATTGAAATCTAATATAATTCCATTTAAACCATTATTCAATATAATTTCATAATATTACAGCATATAAATAATAAAAAATACTTAAATTATTAGTATAATATGAAGTAATATTATTGGTAGTATCTACAATAAAAAATAAGAATAAAATATATGTAAAAATATAGAATATACACTATTATATAGAAATTATATAAACAAATACGAATTTGGTATTGATTTAATATAATTTTGACTTCTTTGATGAGAATATTATTTAATATAATTTAATATAATAAATAACAATAATTTACTTATGATGACTTATTCAATAACCAGTATCACAAATATATTTCTTATTTACAATTAGAGACAGACCGATATTTTATAGAACTATTTTTCAATTCAATACTTAAAGATATAATCTTAAAATAAAAAAATTTCATTAAACCAGTTAGTATTATCATAAACTCAATTATTTAAATGTTTTTTTTGTTTTTTTTAAAGAAAGTCCTTCAGTCATAAATGCGTATGTGATAATCATTTTTTTCTTTTATGGATTTTTTTTCAAATATTATATAATTACGTAAAAACAGTTATAGAAAAATATATTTTTGTTTACCTTTCTTAAAAAACTAAACTTTTAACTTCTGTTTTATTTACAATAAATCATAAATATCTATATCCACATAATTTATGAATAATGTATAATATTTCATGTAAAAAAATAAGAATAAATTTCATTAAAATACTCAGATTTGATCTATTTATAACTTGAGAAGATATTTTTATTCTTTTTTAAAATGTTATTTAATTTTATTAACAAAAAAATATCATTTTTTTGATAGGAATTTATGTATTACGTTAGGCAAATTAATAATTTTTTTACAAGGATATTCTTTCTTCTTTTTTTCATTATTTTTATAGAATATGACGAATATTATTTGAGCTGTTATTTTAAAAATATCATTTTCAATAAATTATTGATGTAAAACTAGCTTGGAGTTGTTTAGATATCACATAATTTATTTATTGGTTAAAAAATTTTGTTTTTTACATTATTAACTAAGAACCAAAAAGCAAATTAAATTCCTCTGAATATAAAAATGAAAGAATGTTAAAGAAAGATATTACAAAAAAACTTTAAAGAGAAACTACGCTATAAATATAAATAGTATAGAATAAATGTGATTCTAACAAAAAAAATGGTAAAGAGAGAAAGTCTTTGTTTGAGAGTGTTAGAATATGAACTATTTAAACGTTTAAACTCGAATAAATCACATATATACATAATGAAAACTATCTATGCTTGTTTTATAGGTCCTTCTAGGTGTGGAAAAACTTCTATTATTGAAAAATACCTTCATAATAAAGAAGTTAATTTATATGAAGAAACTATTGAAGATGTGTATAATTGTACAATCCAAAGAGAAAAATATAATGCTGAAATTAAAATAATAGAGAATGGAGGTAATAGAGAATTTAAAATATTAAGAGATTTTCAACTAACAAAAGCAGAATTTATAATTTATGTTTTATCAGTAACTGATAGAGAAAATTTTGAAAAAGCTCATAATGATATTATTGAATGTATTAATATTATTCACTTGAATAATAAAAAAGAACTACCAAAATTTATTATTGTGGCTAATAAAATTGATGAAGAAATTAATAGAAAAGTATCTACTAAAGATTTAACTAAACTTCAATTGAGTTTAAATGGAATTTGTGAATGTACTATCTTAGAAACTTCAGCAAAAACCTCTTTTAATTTAAAAACACTTTTTATGATGTTAACAGTCCCAAGAAGAACAAAAGTAATTTCATCCCAAAGTTCAACTACTTCTTTTCCTTGTTCAACTTTAACTCCTTCAATTGAACCAAATCCCCATTTTATTAGGATGAAAGAAAAAAAAATTTCTAAACTCTTTTCATTCTTCCATCCATTTACAAAAGAGGAAAAAAGTTAAAATGAATCTTAATATCTTCAAAATTTTCATAACAAAATTAATTAATGTATTGTTGTTAATTTATGTTGTGGAATTTGTGTTTTGGTATTTTATAAAAAAATATCTCATAATCAATCTATTTCAATGAATCTATTATTCTATATAAAGAATAGAATTATTTCTTTCTTTAGTTTTTTTTTGAAATAATCTAATATGAAACAAAAAAAAAATTATTGTAAGGAAGTTTAATGAATTAAAATGAATTATATTTCTTTGATTCTTGTTCATAAAATTGAAGAATTTTTAATTTTGTGTTATTTTAAATTTTTTCCCTCAATATATCGAATTACAAGATCTATCATTAAATAGCTTTTTCATGACTGCTATATTATTTACTAAAATCAAAGATGGTAAATTAACTTCAAGAAGCTTTAATGTAAAGAGACTCTCAACGTCGTTTGGTTCTGAGTTTACTGATGTCATTATTGGAAATACCCTTCCACACCATTGTGATTTTGTGATGAACAACAAAAATGATGACAAAGGGTTTATTTTTAATTTTAGCGATAGAAATGATGTTATTGTAAATCGTTGTGTTGTTCCACAATATGCACAATTTGAATTACCTTCTAATAGTATTCTTCAAATTGCTAACTCACTATTTTTTGTTTCCATAAATCAACCAGACAAAAATTCCCAGATATTAATTGACGAATACTTTAAATTTAATGAGACATCAACAAAACAAGAATATATAAAAACAGAAAATAAAACAACCGAGAAAGAATCACCAAAACAATCATCTGTTATAAAAAGTATTAGTCTAGATCAATTGAATAATGAAAACAAAATAATAGAAAATCAACAACCTTCACTAGAACAAAAAGAAGTAAAAAATAAACATAAACATAGAAGGCATTCTTATTCAGATGACTCAAGTGAAGACACTGAACAAAATAGTAAAAGAAAAAGAAAACATCATAGATCACATTCTAGACACTCAAAAAGAAAACATTATAAAAAGTCAGTTTCTGCTTCATCTGATACATCAAGCTATGAAGATCATTATAAAAAGAGAAAAGGATATAAACACAAAAGACATTCAATAAGTTCATATGACCAATCTTCTAAAAGTCTTAGTGAAGATAAATAAAAAAGTTATTGAGTTAAAGGGACAACAGAAAACAATCTTAGACTCTTTTTTTTTAAGTTAATTTAGATTTAAAGTTCTATACTCGGTTCGCTTCATCTCATCAATCCAACCCTTAGAAGGTCCAAAATTTAATATTCATACAGAAATGAAAGTCAACTTTTAAACGAAGTAAACAAAATCCTTGTAAATACAGAAGAACTTCAAAAGTAAAGAAAAAACTATTTTTATTAGATTTTACAACTTTTTACTATTAATATACTTTTTTAAAGGAAAAAATGATAAAAAAAAAGAGATAGAAATTACAACTTTAACAAGGAAAAAAGCTAAGATGTGATATTATTAGTAGAAAAATCTACCCTTTAAATATTAAAGAACTTCAAAACCATTGAATCAATAAATTAAAAAATGCCTAAGTGTTTCTTATGTGGTAAAGAAGTTTATCCAGCTGAGAAAGTTAATAATGATGGAAAAATATTCCATAATGTTTGTTTCCAAACATATAGAAAACAACAACAAATTGAATATAAACATACAAAACAAGCTGAATATTATAAGAAAGCTGATGTTGTCCCTGCTTATTATCGTGTTGCAGATAAAGAATCAGGTGAGCCTTCAAGAATGACTGCTGGTGTTGATGATGAAGCTGAAAGACAAAGAATTATTGATGAAGAAAATAAATTTTTACAAAAAGTTGCAGAGCAAAATACAAATAAAAATGTTGCTCAAACTACTGTTTGTGAATGTGGTCAATTAGTTGATAATAAAATGAATTTCTGCCCATACTGTGGTAAACCAATGAAAAAATAATTTAACACATTTTGTTATTCAATTGATTTGTTTTATATATCATAAAATTTTATTAATAATCATAAATTAAATAATTTTTTAATTGTTTTGTGCATGTATCCCATTTTTCTTCATTTTGTTTTAATAATAATTCACTTTTTGTGATTTGTTTATTAATCCAATTAGCTTCACTAAAGTCTTGAGTTAATTTGAGTCGAGAGTATAATGTTGAAATTGTTTGTTTTAACGATGACGATTTAATATTAACATATTCAGTATATGTTTCAATAGTTTGTTCTGATACAATACCACATAATATAGCAAGAACAAAAGATGGTTCAATTCTGTATTTATTTTCTCCTTTTTTCCCTTCAAAATAACCAAAGTTCTCTATAAATTGAATAACTCCAACAGAGGCATTTCCTCCTATAGTCATTGATAATCCAGTGGTTTCATTAATTATTTTATATTCACAATTCCATCGAGTGTTTAGTGGAGATTCAATTAAAGATGGATTATAAAATAACGAATATTGATATCCTTTTTCTTCTTTTCTTCTAATAATTAATTTTTGAGGTTGACAATATTTAACAAGTCCTTGATTAATCCATTCTTTTCCATCAAATACTAATTTATATTCTTTAAATGAAATTATTTGTTCATCACTTTTTTCTTCTTTTTTACTAATATCAACTGCTTCAATTAACTCAGTTTTTAATAACACATTTTTAATCAATGATACAAGAACTTCTTTAGTTGTATGTAATTTACAAATTTCTGTTGAGTCATGTTTTATTAATTCATCAACAGTTTCGTTAAATTGATGATATCCTCCTCTGCAACTATAAATATCATTAAAAGTATTTCCTCCACAACTAAAACTTCGTTTTGCTCGTTCTTCAATCTCATCTCTCGTTAATCCATTCATTTTTCTAAAAAAAGTTTTTTTATTCTTTTTATTTTTTGTTAATTAATGAATATACTATAAAATTACTATATTTTTCTATTAACTAAAAAAACCATTATTTTAGGAATAATAATGATTTTTTTGTTAGTTATACATCAAAATCGGAAAACAAAAAATAAAGAACTTAGAACATATTCAATTTCTCTCATTTTTAAGATTCTTCTAACCAAATTTTTTAGAATTAATAAAGTATAATAAATTAATCTATAATGATAATATATTTCTCATAGAGGCTGATAGAAATGAGTGCCTACTTGAAAAGAAGTTAGCAATCTTAAGAGAAAAAACCCTTTATAGTACTGAAAAAGTGAAAAGATCTAAATTTACTTCATGTTTCTTTTATTTACAATCCTCTTTTACTCTAATGCTATTGATTGTTCTGATGGACAATATCTTGATACCTCTGGAGAATGTAAAAATTGCAATACTAGCAAACACTGTAAAACTTGTTTTGCTGAAGATAAGTGTATTACTTGTGAAAATAATTATTACTTAGATAGTTCATATCAATGTACTGAAAGAAAGAATATATCGAATTGTGATACTTGGGATAATCTTTTTTGTACTATGTGTAAACCTGGGTATTATCTTCAAAATCAAGAATGTAAGGCATGTACAACTAATTGTAAATATTGTAATTCTCAAGAATGTTTCCAATGTGAAGCAGGATATACTCTTGTCAATAATGGAGCAAATTGTGTTGACTGTTCTAAAGAAGAAAATAATTCAGTTTGTGGAAGATGTGGTATTAATGAATATTTTGATGTAAGTAAATTAAATTGTCTTCCTTGTAAAACTAATTGTCAAAGATGTTCTAGTGCTCAAAATTGTTTTATGTGTAGTAATGGTTTTGCATTAAAAGATCCAACAGATCCACTTTCTGAATGTTCTTCTATTGAACACTGTGTTTCAGGTCATATATTTGGAGATCATTGTGAATTGTGTACGACAGGATTTTATCTTGATAATGGAAGATGTTCTCCTTGTTCTGAGCAATGTCTAAGATGTATTAATTCTACTAATTGTGTTGAATGTAATTCTGCAATGAAATTATTTGAAGGAAAATGTGTACCTTCTATTGATAATTGTGCTAGATCAAATGGAATACAAGGATGTTTAGAATGCAATGAAGGATTTTATCTTTCAGAAGGATCTCAATGTGTTAGTTGTCCTAAAAATTGTTCTTCTTGTTTAAATGAAAATTATTGTTTTAGATGTGGTCCTAATTATTACTTTAGTGGAGAAGAAGGTCAGTGTATTTTAAAAAATTCTAACTGTAAAGTTACTGATCAATATGGATGTTTAGAATGTTATTATGACCAAATTAATTTGGAACTTTGTAAGGAATATTCTGAAAAAAAATTAATTGATCCATTAAAATGTAGTGATACAAGTTCTCAACAAACATTTGGCTATTTTCTTCCTGTGACAAAAAATAGTAAAACAAATGTTTTGGAATTTAAAAAAGAATGTGAGTTATGTGATGTTAAATGTAAAATTTGTGAATATAATTCAACTTGGTGCTCCGCTTGTAATGCTGGGTATGCACTTAATATTAGTATTGAAGCTACTTCTCTCTATAAAGAATTAACTGGAAATACACAAAATATTTATAATTGTGTTGAAAAACCACCTGAATGTGTTAGAACTGAAATGGGATATTGTGTGGAATGTGCTTCTGGATATTTTTTAAGTGATGTCACTTGTACTAAATGTGATGTGTCATGTGGTTCATGTACGTCCAGTACTTATTGTCAAACATGTAACTCTGCAACTGATAATAGTTCAAATGCTTTGTATTGGAGACCTAAATCATTGACAGATGCAGCAGATGAAGCAAAAGGAAAATGTTTTTTAGTTAACATTTCAGAGAGTAATCAATACAACCTTAATCAATGTGCTAGTCTTATTACAACTTCAGGTTGTTCTATATGTAATACAGGGTATTATACACATGATGGTTATTGTCTTAAATGTCCTGATAGATGTACAGAATGCAAAGAACAAGTAGGTGATATTACTGGTGATGGAATAATTTGTACTGGATGTAATGATACTCAATACCTTACTACTGAGGATAATGCTACTTGTCTTAGTTGTGATAATATCAAACATTGTCATAAATGTAAAGGAACTGGGTGTGAAGAATGTGAAAGTGGATATACATATTCAAGAGATAGACTTGAATGTACTAAAGTTAATCTTGCATTAATTCTTCCATTATGTATTGGTGCATGTTTAATTCTGATTGTGATTATTCTTATTATTATTTTCTTATTATGGAGAAGACGTAGAGCTGCTGAGAAACAACGTGAGACAGAAATTAGACCATTTAGAGTATCATCAGATGTTGAACTTGCATTATTATCTGCTGATAATGAAAACTTCCCATTAAAAACTGAGAGATGGGAACTTGATTTTGGACTTCCATCAACAAAAGCCATTGTTGATACTGAGTATGAACAAAAACTAAAAATCATGAACACATCAAACAAATCATATTATTTTGAAATTCTTACAAACCCATCTCATAGATATTCACTTGAAGTTAATCCAGTAAGACAAACATTAAAAGCAGGATTTGGTATTGAAGTTACATTTAAGATTAAAATGCTTTGTACTGCTATTGTAAATGAAGATATTGGTATTATTGCTATGGATGTTGATGATAATAATAAAGAAACAGCAAAATTAAAAATTATTATTGAGTCTGATTTATCAACTAAATTAGACCATACAGAACTTAAACCTGTTATGCCACCAATAGGTGAAGGTGCTTTTGGTCTCGTATTTAGAGGAACTTATAGAGGACAAGATGTTGCTATTAAAAAGATGAAAGCAAGAAATCTTACTGAAGAACAAACAAAAGAATTTAATCATGAAGTTGGTATGTTATCTCAATTAAGACATCAAACAATTGTTAGTTTAATTGGAGCAGTATATACAGAAGGAGAAATTGCTATTGTGACAGAATTTGCAGAATTTGGATCATTAAGTAAAATGTGGGGAAAAAGAGAAGTTTCATATGATTTAAAGATTAAAATTATGGATGATCTTGCAGTTGCATTACAATTCCTTCATCAAAATCAAATTATTCATAGAGATATTAAAGGAGAAAATGTTTTAGTTTATTCATTAAATCCACATTCATCTGTTTGTGGTAAATTAACTGATTTTGGTACTTGTAGAAATGTTTCAGAAAGATCTCTTGCTAATAAAGAATTATCTACAGGTATTGGAACACCAACTTATATGTCACCAGAATCACTTCAAGGTACTTCTAATTATTCATATCCAGTAGATATTTATGCATATGGAATGGTATTATATGAAACTTTTAATGAAAAACAAGCTTATGAAAACGATGATAGATTTAATCAACCATGGATGATCCCTCAATTTGTTATTGAAGGCAATAGACTTGAAAGACCAGACAAGATGCCTGACAATTATTGGAATTTAATCACTAAATGTTGGGATCAAGAAGCTGATAAACGTCCTACTGCTACAGAAATTTTACAAGAAATAGCTTCATGGAATATTGATATTAATTATGTTACTGGAGAATCATCTAAAAAAGAAGACCTCAACACTCCTCAAATAATTACTGAACCTAAACCAGAAGTTGAAAACGAAATTTCAAAACCTTTAGATGAAAATAATAGTAACAGTAAAGAATCTGCTTCTTCTAGTTCTTCTGCTTCTGAAAAATCATCTGATGTAAAAAAAGAAGATATTAGTAAAAGTGAAAGTAGGTCTTCTGCATCAAGTGATGATGATTAATTCATTATTATGTTCATAAATACTTGAATTGTCTCTTAGTCAAGATAATTTTTCCAAATTTTGTGTTTGAGTAATTTTTACTATTATAAACTAATAAAAAACTAAAATAGAATTATAATTGATAGTATCTTAAAAATGGGGTTATGAACATCATAAATATAAAATATTAATCTGAATAGTAAAAAAAATTATTTAAATAACAAAATAAAAGGAAAAGAACTTAGAAATGAAAGAACTAACCCTTGAATAAGTGAGTGAAACATGGGAGGAGTCAGAACCAAAACAGTTAAAAGAGCTGCAAGAAATATCATTGAAAAGTATTACCCACTCTTAACTCTCGATTTCCACACCAACAAACGTGTTGTTGATGAAGTTGCTGTTGTTGAGACTAAGAGACTTAGAAACAAAATTGCTGGTTTTATCACTCACTTAATGAGAAGAATTCAAAAGGGTCCAGTTAGAGGAATCTCTTTCAAACTTCAAGAAGAAGAAAGAGAAAGAAGAGACAATTATGTCCCAGAAAAATCTGAAGTTAATATTGAAAAGATTACTGCTGATCCAGTTACTCTTAAAATGCTTGAATCAATTGGAATGCCAATTAACAAGAAGAATTAAATTATCCTTTTGAAGTGTTTCTTTAGATTTTTTTTTTGATTAGATAATTTTATTAATATGAAGAGACAATTTATATTTAATAGTGAATGGTTTGTATATTATTGTTATTCAAATGTTAAAAAAAGAAACTGTTATAATTAAAGATGATCAACCTGCTGATACCACTACACTTCCTGGAAAATACTCTTGGTTAAAATATGCAGAAAAGATATATAACGTATTATTTGAAACTGAAGATGAAAAAATGAGAAGGGCAGTATTTGAAGGAAATGCTTCTTTAGTATTAGATTTATTAGACAATGGTAATGACTTAATTAATAAAGATAAACATGGAAACACCTTACTTCATATTGCTGTTATGGCTAGGCAAATTGGTATGATATCTTTCTTAGTAGATCTTGGTTTAAGTCCAAATCATGTTAACCACAAAGGTGAAAACATTTTAATGCTTGCAATTCAATTAGGATTTAATGACATTGCTTTTGAAATTATGAAGTTACAAAATTTTAATTATTCAACTCCAGACTTAAATGGAGAGAGTTTGTTACATTACTGTGCCCGTTATGGAATGGCTCTTATTTGTAAAGAAATTCTCAGGCATAACATTAATATCAATTCTATTGATTTTAACAATAATAATGCTCTTCATATTTGCTGTTCTTATCATTCATTAAATGTTGCACGAGTTCTCCTTATCAATGGAATTAGAACTACTCAACGTAACTCATTTGGTCATATCCCACTTGAAGACGCTGTTCAGATGAAAGATCGAGAAATGACTAAGTTGATTTTTATTGCTATGAGAGGAAATAACTACTTTGCGTTTGAGAGTATGATTGATGACTTGATGATAGGCAGAGAAGATCCAATTCTTTTATTAAACAAAACTCCTATTCAGACTATGCATTATGGAGAAATACACCCTATTTTGAGACAAGACTAATTATGTTATTTTTTATTACTTCACTTTGGTTTGTTTTATTTTATTAATAACTTCTCTTGCCTTAATGTAAGTTAAAACTTATAGCCTACTTGTATTAATAGCTAATTGATGAATTTCATTAACTTATACACATAGCATGAATTATTTATTTGATTAATGTAAATATGTTCTGAGTCAAAATGAATAAGAAACATTCGATTAGAAAAGTATAAAAAAAAATATCAATTATTGGATATATCTATTATTGGATTTTATGATTATTGAGAAGTGTTTATTTCACTTTCTTCATTATGCTCTATTGGTGTAATAGAGTTAATTTCTAGCATGCTCTCATTAGATTGTTCTTCTTCTAATGTGCTGCCAGAATTTCCTGTATAAAACATTAAGTCTTTCATATTTTTGATAATAATTGTTCGTAGGATTTTGGAAAAGTTTAATTGTAATTTCAGGGATTTTATTCTTCTTACTGACTCTTTGTGAATTAATCAATTTATTGATAATATAACAGGTATTATTTCAACATATATTATTTCTCTATTATTTCTTATTTTCTCTTGTAATTCTTTGTATTTATTTATTTTATGAATATAATTTAATTCTAAATTATTATCTTGACATATAGCACATCTATATTATATTATTTCTTCTCTTTCATATTTTGATAATATATATCTGGTCTTCTAGCATGGAATGAGTTGTCATTAACAAATAAATCAATATTGTAAGTTATGACCATTTTATCATTATTAATACATTTAGGAGGATTATTAAAGTCAATTGCATCAAATTCAGTAAATTGTGTAATTAATAAGTGTTTAAATATTTGCTTACATACATAATCATGTTTTAATATTTGATTCTTTTTCATTACATCATAACAATATATGATTAATAGATGCAATTGTGTTATGACAATGTTTACAATATTTTAAATCATCATTTTGGAGTATTTTTGATTTAATATTTCCTGTCATAGTTACACCTTCTTGCATTTTTACTATTTGGAGGAATGCATTTCTTTTTATATTTAATGACCTCCATGTGGCTACTGTTAATTTCTTATCATTGAAAGTGCCATTTGCACATCTTATATATTCACAACATTTCTTTTCTTTCCATTCACTTAAATATCTATCATTTAATTCATTATTTACAAATTCAAATACTTTCTTTACATCATGTTTTCTTTTATTTAATTCTATTATATTCATTAATTCATTAAAATTAATCTTCTTACCAAATGCTTTCTTCATTCTTTTAATTATTCAATTTGGATTTTCTTTTATTGTTTCTATCATTTCTCCTATTCCTGTGTTTGATATTTTTATTTTAAATATATTCTTAATAATTCTTTAGCACATTCATCTCTTGCTGACATTAATCCTAATCCCATTTCATTTATTTTAACATATAGTCTACTTTTGTGTATATTTCTGCTGTACAATTGGAGTTGTATTAATGATTTTCTTATCTGTTGATCTATCTTCTCCAATTCTCATAGTTTCCATGGTACAATACAAAATCCATATCTTAATTTTGAGATTATATCACTATTAATATTTCTTATTGTAATGAGGCTGCTATATTTCATAGTATTTAATGATGATAAAATAGAAGATACATCATTTAATATTCTTGTACAATATTTATAATGATATTTATTTTATCTCCTATTTCAATACCAAGATATTAATAAGGATTATCATTAGTTACTCATGGTAGTTCAGCTAATTCACCATTTATTTGACTATTAATATTAGTCATTATCCCACTCTTTTCTACATTAATTTTTAATCCTATTGCATTAAATATTTCTTTAGTTAATTTGTGTGCTTTTTCCATTTCATCGAGGCTATTAGTCATTATCTTTAAATCGTCCATATACAATATGTGGTTTAACTGGACTTGTTTTTCTTCTCCATTTATTTTAATATTTAATTTGTTTATTTGAATATCTAATTGTTTAGATAGTATGTCAATAGATAATACAAATAAAAGTGGAGATAAACTATCACATTGTATTATTCCTCTTTCTACATTAATCATACTATCACTTTCTTGATTATAATATAAATTAAGATATGTATTATTTAATATATATAATATACTATTAATTACTACAAGTGGGATATTAAAATATATTAAGCATTGTTTAATCCATTGGTGGTTAATACTATCATATGCTTTGGAGACGTCATAATATGTTTCTACCCACTTCCATTTAGCCTTTAATAATAATTGTTGGATTATAATGTTGTATAATAATCCTTCTTTTGACGATATGTATATTTCTTACATCAAATTTGATTTAATGAAAGTTGTTTTTCAATTTGATTTAGCATCAATTGATTTTCTATTTTCATCTTTAATATTGATGTATACACTTTTAACAGACAATTTAAGCACGTTATTGGTCTGTAATTCTGTGGGTCTAATTTATCTCATTTCTTATATATTAATATTGTTCTTCCTTGAATAAAATGAAGATGTATTTCATTAGGATTGTTTAACCATTCATTAAATAATTTTATTAAATATTTCATTGGTTGTTCTAATTATTTAATCAAAAATCATTATATTTTATCAACACCGTGTGCCTTCCAGTTAGCAATGAATTTAATAGCACAATCTAATTCATTGGGAGTGATTATTGATATTCTATTATTAATTATATTTTCAATTAATATTTCATATAAATTAATATTCAGGAAATCTATATTAGTGTTAGTTTCATAGATTCCTTTCCAGAAATTAATAGTGGAGATATTATCTGGATATTCATCTTCTTTAGGCTTATTTAGATGTTGCACTTTTCCATATTTCATCATTTTATAATTCAATCTTATTCTTTTCCAATTATTCTTTCTTGCTTCTATTTCTATTCTTTTCATCTTTCTGAGGTATTTATAATAGTTTATTTGTTCATTTGTTTTTACTTTAATATGATATATATCATATTTATTAATATGTAATATTCTTTTTAATTTCATATATTGTTTATTATGGAGTAAATCTCTTAATCTACATATTTTTGATTGTAATATTCTTTCTATACTTCTCTTTCCACTTCTTTCTTGTTTATTTTTATTAATGATGTTAATAGTGGAAGATACAGATTTAATATAATGATAATAATCATCTAATGTATTGATTATTATTTCATTTTTATTAATAATATTAATTATTTGATGTACTTTCTTCTTATTGTAATAATAATTAATAAATTGTACATCTTCTTGTTGTTTCATTTCTTGTTCTTTAAATATTTTCATTACCTCCTCTTCTTCTATTTCT